GGGAGCGAGGGCCGTCCCCGGGCCGTGCCGCCCCCCGGAGGTGCTGGCGCGTTTGGCCCAACGTCCCCGGAGGCAGGAGTGAGGGGCGGCGGCGGCCCTTGGCCTGTGGAGGGGCGGGGCGGCGCCCGGGGGGGGGGGGGGGGGGGGGGGGCGGGGGGGGGGGGGGGGGGGGGGGGGGCCCCACCTGAGGGGGAGGCAGCTTCTGGGCCCGGTGATAATGAACGGCCTCGTAGCTTTTGATGGGAAGCGCGTATCAGAGAAGTGCTAAAGGGTGCAGTCAAAAACGCGGGGGCATCAGTGTGTATTTTGTCAGCCTGTATCAGCAAGGACTTGGCTGTTCTCTGCCCGTTTTGTCCGTGTCACTGCTTTGGACTGACAGACCGGTTCAGCTGTAGTTCCCGAGGGTGGGTGTCAAACCATGTGCAGAGACATGGCTCTGAGTTCGGCTTTCCTGTCTGCTTGAAGAAGGGCTATCGTAGTTCCTTTTTAATGCCTTTTCAGCTCACTCTGTTCATTCTCGAGACCTGGTGCAATTATATCAATCAAGCAATCAAGAACGCTATCTTACTATTCATGCAAAAACATATACTTTCATAGCCCAGGTTAAGAAGAAAATGCTATCTTTCTATCTTGGTGGAAAGCAAAAGTACTTCTCTGTTAGACTAGGAGATCAACTTTATCCATGCTGATGTATTGCTTCCCCCCAAAAGGGTTGCCTGTTTCACTCTCCTGTCTTCTATTCCCAGTTTGTGGACACAGCTTTTCTGTAATTTTGATTTGGCTTTTTAAAGCTGCTTTTTTTTTTTTTTCCCTAAAACAGAAAAGAAATTAGAAATGAAACAGCTTGTTTTACAGAAGAGATCTGGAATGTGAAGTGTGATGTTAGCTGTGTTGTAAGTAAGGAGGATTCAGGGCTTCTGTTTATTTCAGTTGAATATATTCATGGCTTCTGACAGAGGGATGCTAGTTGTTGATACTGACAAGCATCAGAGTAGTGGATACTTGTGAAAATCGTGGCCTAAGCCAGTTTTCGGAAGTTGCTCAGTAATTCTGTGGTAGAGCAATAGAAAAGAAAATAGTTCTCTTTCCTAGTTCACTATTCTATGAATAAATCTTTTTTTTTTCATTAATTTGTATCTGAAGACAAGGATACACTAGATTGCTTCAGTCGTGCAAGGATTAAAGCTGCATAATTATTTCCATATTAGTTTTGTGATACAGATTATGAGTATTTTACTTGGGGGGTGGAAAGGTCCTAAAGAATCTAATAAATTTGTGTGGCAAAGATGTAATCTATAATTCTTTGTGTTGTAACTTGTAATTCTGTTTTACTTATGCTTATTTCCAACAGCAATTACAATATGCTTCAGAGGTGAAGAGCAAGACTGTTCAGTTCATGAATTTAAGAAATGTAGGAACTCTGAATGACACAAGGTAAATTTTATTTTGGGAAATTCATATGAAAAGATCATCTCTGCATGTTAGAATACTTTCTAGACATGGTCAGACTGTCAAACTAATGTGATGATGTGATGAAGGAAAAGTACAGTTTTAGCAAAAAGCATTTGGGGTGAATTTGGGAGGTCACTTATCAAATGATTCATGTACCTAAATGTAGGTGTCTAGCACCGTTTCACATATATCAGGGTACAAGAAATTCCTGCTTACGCAGAGAGGAGTTGACACAACGCCTGCCAGAGACTTCTCCCCTTCTGATGCAGCAGCTGGAGGCCCAGTGAAGGGTTGTGCAGATGTCTTACCATTAAGTACTCGAATGGCACCCTGAACCAGAACATGGATCCTGCCTAATCCTAAGGCTTCCCGTTCTCCAGGGGCGTTTCTGTGGTGTCCCTCACATAAGTGCCATAGAGTGTATTTCAGTAACTGGCTAGCAAGAAACTTTTTGTTAAAAACTATGTTCTTTGTCATCAGTTGACAGATGCTGAGTCGTCATAGTTCATAGTAACTGTTGTATTGCCATACCCATTAGCAAAAACTGGAATGATTTCATTGATTTGTCTGTTGCAAGAGATACCCACCTACATACTCAGAAGATGACATTGATACAGATGAAAAAACTTTTGTGATTTAATTTTATTTGGTTAATTAAACTGAGGTAGACTTTATTCCCAGTAACTTTTTCTATTTATTTAAATACAGTAACAGAAGCAGTCTCACAAGTGCTGTAAGCCTTACGTAAAGCCTACAAGGGTGCTTTGAGACTCTCTGAAGAAGGTATTTGTATGTGTTAGTTCATAAGCACACTTTAAATAACATCTAATTACCGAGGTGTGTCAGTAATTCCAGTTGACTAGTCAAATGCTGTACATAGACATGGCATGTGATATTGATGTTTCTAAGCAGCTCATAGCTACAGTGAGTTTCTTAAGAGTCAGTTGATGTGGGCTTCTAAGCAGCAGATGATTGTATTTGTAGAGTTCAAAACTAAGTCTTGCACAAAGTCCTTTTATGAGAATTATTTTGAAATATGATACCTAACTCTACCTGCTTAGTACACAGGGGTCACTGTATCTAAGGAAAGAAGTACATGTTCCTCAGCTAAGAGATCTCTACTACCAAAATTTCAAAATTCCACCTCTATTTGTAAGGTGGATTGTTACCTACATTACCTTAAGAAGGACTGCTTGTTTTATATGATAGTTTCATAGTTACCGTTTCCTCGAAGGTCATGGTCTTGGTGTGTTTTTTTTATAGCAAAAATACAGTCTTCCATGTTTTTCTCTTCATTATGGGCCTGTTTGTAATTTGTAGCTCTTTAGATGAGACCACTTACGAAAAACTGGCTGAAGAAACACTGGACTCCTTAGCAGATTTCTTTGAGGACCTGACTGATAAGCCTTTTACCCCAGAAGATTATGATGTCTCTTTAGGGGTATGTTTTAAATATTCTACTGCCACTGTAGTTCTCATAGATTTTTTTTTTTTTCTTTGAAGGAGAATTTTAAATTAGTTGCCTTTGGTTCAACACTTAAAATACAAAGAGTTTTTACAGCTTTATTGTGAAAATATGCCTGTTTATACTGATGGAACAGCTATTCTGGTAAAAAGCTTTGAAGCTTTTTAATTTGAAGATTTTAAATGTTTAGTGTATAGAGAAAGACATAATACAGAATAATAAATGAGTACAAGAGGACACAGAAACTGGTTTCTAATTTCAGAGTGGTCTGTAAATTTTTCTAAACCCTCTGGCATTAGCAGTCTCTTCCCTCACGGTGAATACTAGGAGAGGCCTATGTGGCATAGTACATGTATGTACGTCACATGTAACTGGTAGAGCAGTTTCTTTGATTGCCCTGAATACTGAGAAGCACCATTTGTCTTGGTCAGGTAGAGAATGTTTGTCCTGGCTTTACTGATGACAGGCTGTAGTGGAGAGAAGCAACAAGAGGATGTGGTGTTTGGAAAAGTGGGAGCAGAACATTCATGCGGAGAAGGCTACTGTCACAGGAAACGTTAAGTGGCTGCTAGCCTGTTAATTGGAGCCTGCAGGAGTAAGTCAGCCACTCAGATTCTTTAACAGGAGTGACAGATTCAGATTAAAAATATCCATTCTATTTCTATAAGGAATTTATTAGTTTTGTATACAGTTACTGAAGTGGTTCGTACGTTACAGCCCTCTCTACATGAGATGGAGGAGAGTGCAGTGTCTCCCCACACTGCTGCCTGCAACACAGGTCTTTCACTACTGCTTGGTTTTTGAGGTCACATAACCTCTGCTCCCTCCACATGTCTTACCACAAGGAGGTTGCTTTGTGCTAGCCCTGTCAGTTAAGGTTTTATGCTCAGGGACAATGAGGCAGATGGTTTGGGTTGTATTGTGCCAAAAAAAAAGGAAGTAAAAATCAAAACCCTGTAGTTTTCGGACTTGCTCCTGTGTAACTTTGCCATCATAATGTTCATTCTTTGTTTCTTATAGCTGGGATAGAAAATAACTTACTGTTAGTAGGAGTCTGCAGTTGCCCTTACCAAATACTATATGTTGCTTTAATTAAGTGTGTAGTTAATGTCACAGATAATTGCTTTTCACCAAAAAAGCAAAGACTTGTTTAACCTTAGCTATTCAGTATGTTTTAGCATATCAGTGCCTATTAACCGGGTTTAAAGATCTTAGGACAAAATTTAGTAAAAATATCATAATTTACCTCTTTAATATTCTTAGATACTTCATTACACGAAGTTGATGAGGCACTTTCTGTCAGAATTTTATCTCCAGTGGATCGTGTTTGACATTGACTCATTGTGAGGCTTGAAAAGTCATTATTTTTATCTCCGTGTTAATTTTTACCAGTGCTCCTTTGTTGCATAGACTGTGTGATGACATGATGACACTTTGTCCTTTCTGTTAAGAGCGATAGGTTAAATAGTCCCAAGTTTACCCGCGCCAATGCCAAACAGACAAGGCTCGTGCCACTCCGAGCCACGAGGTGGCGAACGTGATACAGGTCTGTTGTGCCTGTGACTCACGCACTTCATTTCTTCACCCAATTTTTATCTTCGTGTCCAGGGGAAAAAAAAAAAAAAAATCTCTTTTGAAGAATATTCTTGTTACCAAGAGCTAACAAACATTCATCCAGTAGTACAAAAGACAGTGCAGTAGTATTCCTTGAAATGTGATAGAAACATCTTGCAATTTAAGTTCTTAAAAACTCAAGTTGTATTTTCTAGTGTTTCAAACTTATTGCAAAATGTATGAGAGAACATTTTAAACACACCATTAGAAGTTAACCTTTATTTAATTTGCAATGGCAGAGCAACAGCATTCTCCAACAGCTGACACACAATGTAAGCAATAGTATAAATGTCTTGTTAACTCTTTGGAAACCTGGCTGCTATAGTGTTTCTATAGCATACGGCATAACATCATGGTGAATGCTTAAAATGGCACTAGAGAGCACCATAGAAGGATAGTGGAACCTTTGTGTTGCTCTTCAGGCCTAATCCCCCAATTTGCTCTTATTCTGCTGTATCTCTACAGATCTGAGGCCGCTAAGATACAGGGAAGTTTGAGTTCTGACAATTGAGAGAAGTAGCTTGTTCTTGTCCTTCTTTTCACTAAGCTAATACTCAATTAGTGTAACTGGCAGGACAACCTGGTGGCAATATTAATGAGGGTAGCCTTTTCTTTTTATTTTATTGATCATAGATGTAAATCACTTATCAAGCACAGAAACAGCATGGAAACTAAGGTAAAAAAATCAGACCTTGAGAGTATTATTTCATAGCAGATTATCCTTGAGATATGTCAGAAACCAGTAACACTGAGTTATTTTGTAGGGGGAGGGAAGCTCTAAGCTGAGTAAGTTTGCTGGTAGTAGGTACTCAAAAGTTACTGTTTTCCCCACGGTAACTGTATATACATAGCAAATAACCCTAGCAATGATAGTAGCTCTAGTGATATCTTCTGACTAAAGCATGAAAAGTGTCCTTTAAAGAAGCTTTGTTGTGCTGTGAGGCGTGAAGTATTTGAGAAACTGCAGCTTAAATGTGATTAACCTATTACCTGAATTATTAAATGGCATTCTGTAGAGATACCCTTTTTAATTAGCATAATTCACATCTTCTCCTTTACTTAACTCTAGTCCAAGCAGTGTTGTTCTTTTAAAGTTAGGGCAGAAATATTTTTGTCAGAGCGACATATGCTTTTCAGATGCACTTGTGAAAATGTCAGAGAATTGTGAATCATGTTGTCAGGAGGAAATGTGAGTAAGAAAGACAAAATAAATGCTCAGTAGGATAGTAGTCTATAGCTGGCATAATTAAAACAAACCAGACCTCATGGAGTTTAGAAGTGGAACATTTTTGAAGTATGATTCAGGATCTAGGCACATCAGAATTACTGGAGAAAGAATCCTGTTTATTCCTTAGGAAACTATTACAGTTTCTTAAGAAAAGTTAGGTAAAATCGCATGGCTCAGGAAGCTAGCAATGACAGATAATGACAGATTCTTGACTCTGAAGCACACTAGTTCTGCATTACTGATTAATAAAAAATGTTGTTATTGGATAATGTTTTAATCGTTGCAAAATGAACTAGCAGCCCTTTCAAGATGACAGGTCAAAGCTTGAGAGTGTTGTTTAAGTAGTGCCGCTGTGAATGGTGCAAATGCACTAAATCTGACCAGGAGGTTTAAAGTCTAAGTCAGATTCAAAGATAGGTGGCTTGTATTAGGTATTAATACAAGTTTTTGATATCTAGTGATCATTCTTCCAAGCCCCTGCTTTTTGGGGAAATTGCTGGGAATATGATACTGGTATGTAAGTTTCTGTTTATCCACTGCAAATGATATAATTCTTGTCAAGTAACAGGATGCAAATTTTTAACTTCTCACTTACTTTCTTTGTGTTTTAAGAGTGGAGTTCTAACAGTTAAATTAGGTGGAGACATGGGAACGTATGTAATCAATAAGCAAACACCGAACCGGCAGATTTGGCTGTCCTCACCCACTAGGTAAGTTATGTGTAAGTTATGTAATGTCTGCAGGCTGGGTGGAAATGTACTTCACCTGTTTTATAGCACGGCACGGACTATGTAATATCCTTTTCAGAAGTAGCCCTTTTCCTCAGTATATCCTCAAAACATGATACAATCTAAATGTTCGATAGTAATTTGTTACAGAGATTTGAGGCACGGTGCAGTATGCTGGCACGACATACACTAAATTAATCCAGGAAATGTGTAATACAGAATTTTCATACCCTGTTCTGGTCCAAAACTACCATCTACAGGAATTAGCCAACTCAGAAAAAAATAAATAGCCATGATTAAAAGAAACAAACCAAACCAAAACAAAGCTTCTGTTGAAAAAAGAGTGATGATGATGTTATGATCTAAACCTCTCTTTGTATTTAAACAGGGTGGCTCCTTCCCCTTTAAGCTTGTGGGATTTCCTGCCTTATATGTTTATGTGCTCTCCCACTGGTTGTTTTTGTCAAGCATCTGCACTTCATGGGAGCCTTGGCTGGCTGTTCCCTCTGCCTTTTCTAATGCTGTGTTTTGATCCATTCCAGGTTTTCTGGTTGGTTTCAGCAGGGAGGGCAGCCAGATATGTGGGAAAATGCTGTAGCTGTCTCCCCACCAAAACCTGTGTTCTCTGCCACTGTCCTGGGGAAAGAGCTGAGGGAGAGCGGGTCCGTGTCGGAGTGTTCCTGGTGAAGGAGCCAGCTAGCTGGAAAGTATGAGCACGGTCCCAGTGGCTGTGCCTGGCCTACCTCTTGAGCACTGTTCAGAAAGAATGCATCCATTGCAAGCCAGGGAATGGTTTTGCAGTAGTAGAATTCTGTAGCAGGGTTTGTGTTGGGGGAAAAAAAAGGAAAAAAACCACAGTGGAATTTAAGATTTTAAGAGAAACAATTTTAAAAGACATAAAATTTACCTAAAGAAAATTCTAACTAACTGCTTCAGTGTTCTTATGTATTGGCTGGTGAACAGCATACTAGGCTAGTAATTTTTTTTTATCTACTAACTGCTCTCCTACCCCAGGATCCTTTTATTAATTAAGTAATTTATTTAACAGATACATGACTTGCTAAAACACAGGTCTAGCAAGCTAACAAACCTTTTTGTTTAGACAGGTGCTGGCTGTGTGTCAGAATTCATTCATTCCATGTATTTTGCAACAAGCATAATTTCCGAACCTTGATTCTGCTTAAGATGACTATAATACTTTTGTGTCACTGACATAAAGTTTTCATCTGTTTATGAAAACCAAAATGCAGAGAATCCGTATCTATTTGGAGCCAACTCTAGTTGATCTAAGACATAACATGCTCCAGAATACACAAGGAAAGAGATAAAAGTGAAAATTCTCTGACGGTATTTTTCATCATCTGTGATGAAAAATGGTTCCCCTACAAACAGTAAGTTTTGTGTTTCCTGAGCTGCTATTATGGTAAACAGTGGTATTTCCTGAAATACGATGATGCATGTTCACTGACTTCCTGACTTCTGAAAAGCAGCTCCAGTGAACGCTATACGATCTGGAATGACGTACTTCTTCAGGGCAGTATGCTAGGAAGTGAAAGAAGCAAATGCTACTTGCATTGAATGTTGTATTTGTGGAATTTGTACAGAAAATGTAGAATTTTCAGTCTTTAAGAACATATCCCGAGGGAGACAAATTCTTAAGATGTGAGAGAGAGAGACATTTTTTTGAATTTTTTTGACGACCCGTTTGCTACTGTGCATCTACACACCAAAGTGAACTTAAGCTCATGTTTGTAAAGCTTTACTTAGTTGACAATTTAAATAAAGGGGTGGGTGCAACCTGCCAGCAGTGTGATTGCAATAATTTCATGTAGCTTCTTTGCCTGAAAAGACTTTTCAACCTTACGTAGCATCTCTTAATAGTAGCTTAATGTGATATTTTAATTCTTCTCTTTTGCTGCTTGTAAAATTTATGCACACTTTCCATGAGAAATATATTTAATTTGTATTTTACTTTATAGGTATTTTATAGAATTCACAAGATCCTTGTTTACATTATTAATTTAAATGGAAAAATATCACATTTGTACAGGATTTTGGAGATTCGGAGAACTAAGGCAGTGATTCATATGCTAAATGTATTGCTGATATTTACTATGTAGCATTTAAAACCAGCTCAAGTAATTTGTGTGTTTCTTTGTCATTGGTGATTAAATGGCCTGTCTTAGCCTGATTTTCATGAATGGCTGCATCCCATTCTGTCATTCTCTAGGTGCGGGATGGGATAAACAAATGCTTGTGGTGCAAAGACAAGGGACTGAGAAATGCATAGTAAAGACACTGGGGCATGTAATGTCGATTCCAAATAGTTACCAGTTCACATACAGCAAGTGAGGGTTCAGTGGAAGTGACTTTGATTAGTGTTTGCATTTGTGGCTTCCCATAGTTTTAGTGGTTGGAAAGTTCCTCGTTTGAATGTTGTGAGTAATTCAGGATATTCAAGGTTCAGGTTAGTGTTTATGTTTGTAGAGAACCTGCAGATTGCTCTTGTGTATATATAGGATAGTCTGTTTTCTAGCAGACCTTGTGTGTGGATTGTCTGAATTCCAAAGCATTTTGTGCTCCAAGTTCAAGAATAAAATTGATGGTTTGTCTGTTTATCCCAGACGACCATTTCATTCCTTTCTCTTTCCTTAGTTCCTCTAGCTGGCATGAACAGTAGCAAGTGCCTTTCAGTCATTCTCCTGTTTCAGATGAGAATTGGGTGGATAGAAAGGTCTGGAATAGAACCTGGGTGTTCAGGTTTCTTTCTTCATACTTAATGGAGGCCTGAAGAATCAAGCCAACAACTACACAATAGCACAGAGGAAAAGAGCATTTTAAATAGAAATCTCCCACATGCCAGTATACTTGCTTTCAGCTGGTAAATTCTTTTGTTGCACCTAAAAAGCAAGTGAGAATGATGACCTGTGTTCTGCTGTGCTTAGAATATCTGCACATGACGCTGTAAGAACTAATCAATACCGTTAATTCAGCATTATAAAAATATCCCTTGTAATATTTGTGTCAAAGAAAATAACAGGGGTGAGGGAAGAAGGGGGTAAGGGAACAAACTGGGGAAGTCAGTGCCAAAAGCAAGAAGGGGAAGGAGCTCGTGTCCACTGGGAGCGACTGATATATCTTGTCACCTTTCAGATATATCTGTTGGATGGCTTGGCAGTTCCTGGCAGATCTGGCCTTTTCTGCTCCACTTCCCCAGACTGCCCACCACTCCTCCTCCACGCTGTCTGTTCCTTTTCCTGGGCGCTCTCTGGGGTACATGAAAAACACAGGCTCCCAGCAGCTCCCCACGAATAATCTGTGCTCACACAGTGTGTGTTTTGTTTTCTAGCGGGCCCAAGCGCTACGACTGGACTGGACGGAACTGGGTGTATTCTCATGACAGAGTATCCCTTCATGAACTACTATCAAAAGAATTTTCAACAGCGTTAAAAACTAAATTGGATTTGTCCTGCTTAATATATTCTGGGAAAGAAGATACTTGATGATATGCTACCTCGTGGAAGTTTAAAGACTTTAACCACAAGCCAAGCCCTTCCTTGCTTTCTGAAGTACCTGAGCTTAATTCTGTTGTTTTTCTAGACTTCAGTATGTTGTGCAACAAAAATGAAAATAATATATTTTTCTCTAGTGCTCAGTCTTTGGGTTTCTGTGTCACTGCTTGAATCGGTGTCCGTGTAGCACAGGTACTTGCGTTCGCCCTTCCTGTTCCCACATTTCTTCCTTCCTTGCTGCAGAAGTCAGTCGTGGATTCTTGCTGTCTGTAGTCTTGTTTGGGTGTAACGATTGACCCACCTGGTGGCTTCTGACCAGCGCACAAACGCTGAGCTCCTTTTGATGAGACATTCATGCAAACCAAGAAATGCCTGTGAATCGCGTGGACGTAAGTTGTGGTACTGCGAGTGCATTGCATTAAAATTTGTGGCTATTGCAAGTGAATAATGCATCACAGTCAAATAGAACACGTTGTAAATAAAATGACTGTGGCAGGTAGAATCTTTTTGTTTTGTGCAATGCACATAATAAGAGTCTTTCTCTCAGTATTGCAGAACTTGCTTTTTTCTCCATATTCTAAATTCTAGAATTCTGTTTTCTTTCACATTAAGATATTTTTTTTTGAGCTAAACTTTAAGTTACTTAAGAGGCCTGTATGGCTGTAAGCATCATATGGAACTGGGAGGCTTGTATGTGATGTTTAAGCTGTGCAGCAGTATCTTTGCAAACATTTCATTCTATTACTATGGATTTCTTTTTCTGTTCCCTTTCGTTCTTCAAAGGGTAAAAGTACATAATTTATTGACTTTTTTTTCAGTTGAGCAAAATTAATATCCTCTCATGGTAGCAAAAAATTGCACTAATTTTATTCTGCTGCATTTCTTAAGTAAGTGGGCTTAGATTATCTTTTTTATCACCATGATACAATAAGGTTGGCCTTAGTACTGTGCTCATGCAGAAACTTTTGTCTTTTTGCTTCTTAGGATTTGGTATGGTACTTAGGCTGATGCAGCTGTCTTTTCAGGCTGTTAAAAAAAGAAAATGAAATAAATTATATACTCTGGATCTTAAACCAAAAAGCTTTAAAAGAAATAATGATCTGCAAGAAGAACACTTCGGCACTTGCACTGTTGTATTACTACCACTGGTGTTTCTTAATTGGCTATAAAATGGGAGCACAAAGTTATTGACTAATTCTTGAGGAAACAGCTCTTCTAGGTGGTTTATCAATGTATGAAAACATAGACAGTGCAAACTGTTTTTCTTCTTGGTTCCTCTGACATTTGTGGTTAGCTTGGCATGATTCTCTTGCTAGCTAGAATTATTACAGATGTGATTAATTTTGTGATTTAAAAACAATAGCTATATAGTATTGTTGCCCAGTATCTGCATCTAAAGTACCAGCATTGTTACCTGCTGTTTCCCACCCTGAAAGAGTAACGTTACACTGGAAGCTGCTTTTGGTTAATTGTGCACACTTTTTGCATGTTTATCAATCAAAAAATATTCAGTGACTGAAATTTCAACTCTACTGGATGAGGTAAATACAATGACTACGAACTCTCATGAGTACAAGAGTAAAAGATGTTTTTTTTCTTTAACAAAGGAAAGCTAAAAATAGAACATCTTTTACTGTTTTGAATTTAGAACACTGAAAATAATTTACAGCATATGGAAAATTATAGTATTTAGCTCAATTTCCTAGTAGTTCAAGTAGCTACTTAAACACATTTGTATAGATGTTAAATGACTTAATATTTAAATCAAGGATACTTACTCCTGGTTCTTCCTTTGCCTGATCACACACAGCTTGTGTAATTATTTTTCTGACTGACTTTTCCAAAAATTATTTTCTTAAGTAGTTTGCATGCAGCATATTCGCTAACGTGCACGTGGTTCACGTTCAGAGGTTCACTCTCCCTTCTCTTGCATGTGGTGCAAACGTTTGTACCGAGTTGCCTGTGGAATTCTTCATTCATTATGTAAAGGTGTGATTTCAGGCCATGGTGATAAAGCTAAAGACTGCAGACATGCGTGTTGAGTTGTGTTCCTTAAAACACTTACTGGAAAGACTCTGTTCAAAATTTGGCCAATCGGGGTGGATTTTATAAGAGCAGTTCAGTTTTCACGTTTGACGTGCCTTGCCCTTTACCCATAATGCTACTGCTATTTACACAGTTTCCTGGTTTTAGGTATCTTGAGTAACAAATGGTTTCAGTCTTACTGGCGAAGATAAGGAGCGTCAGTGAGTTGGAATGACTTTTATCTGGGTGTACAAAATGAATCATAGGACATGACTCATTTTCTTGCCCTAGTACATACATTGAATTCTAAGTAAGGGCAAGGAGACTCCATCAGCCACCGCACTCGTACGGCGGAGGCACAGGACAAGCTCTGATCCTAATGTCATATGACTTTGCATACTGTCCCCAAACAAACAACTCCTCCCTGCTGCCTTTTTTCACTTCCGTAACTCACTGGAATAAGCAGATTGTTCTGTGGTTACACACCTGGCATCCTGTCAATAGTTCCTTGCTCTTCACCTCTCCCAAAAGAACTGGCTGAAGGAAACCCCTTTGATAAACACCAGGGACAGTGAGTACCGATGAGAACCATTGTGTCACTGGCGGCGTTTATCACGCAGGACAGTTGCTCTGTCTTCAGTGGAGGAAAACACACAGAGTACTTCTGGGAGAGGATTATTATCATTTGTAGCTGTGCTGGATGGTCAGACTTGGCAGAGAGAGCGGTGTGTGTTGGGTGTTTTTAGGCACGCCAGAGTTTTCACCAGCTAATCGCTCGTTCTGATGATGGCCTACAGTCTGAAAGCCCTAGCACGTCTAACCTTGCTAAAATCCATTGTTTCCTGTGTGCCAGAGAGTTCTTTGGAAGTCCTGACTGATTCACGTGGTCAGGCTAGGCTTACAGCAGGCTGTGTTGGCCACAAAACACTGCCTTTGTTTGACAGGGGTTGCGCGCCTAAATGCTTGTCTGGTACCTGTTCGCTCATTTTCCTTTCCTTGTGATAGTTTTCCTCTTCCCTGCAAGACTGTTCCATGTGATTAAAATCACCGGGTCTTGTTTCTTTAAAATTCCCCAAGTCTTTTAGCAGCTTCAGTGAATGGGATAAAGACCCGTCCTGAAGAGGTGGTAGCCGAATAAGGGAGGGGGGATTAGCAGGGAGGTTTGTGTTTGATTACTTTCAGCTTGTGGTTAATGGTTGAACTCTGTGATTGTGCTCACCAGCTCTGGAATGTGTGGGAGTCCCGAGAAGGAAGGCAGAGGCTCGCCAGAATACCTGGAAGAACATTCAAAATAGAAAAGGAAGCATGGGAGGGGCAGAAGCAAAGGCTATCAGGAAGAGATTAACTTTGCCCAACGGCTGATGTCGTTGGCAGGGCAAGGAAAGGCTGGGGGCAGGCCGCATCATGTTGCAGCCCCTCAGGGGGTGGTGTTTTAAATTTACCGCACACCACTAGCTGTAGCTGTAACAAATCGAACACCTTGCAGTCCGTTTTGCTGCTGAGATTTATTTTATCTTACTTAACTGCTGTTTAAAGGTAAGGAAAACTTGTTTGGAGTTGCATCCCCCTCTGTCCCAAATTGTCTTTTGTGTAAATTGTACTGTTGGCAGTCCCAGAACAGGGACGAGATTCATGAGCTCTCCCAAAGGAGATGGCCAGCAGAGGCTGTTTCACTGGGGGTAGAATAAACAGAGCTATGAACAAGTAAGAAAGTGTTTGTTGTTTTGTTTTTTTTTTAAAACTGTTATTAATTACAAACTTCTTTTTGGAATTCAGGTTAAGGAAAGACAGTCAAGTTCAGATAAGGAAACAATAGATGCTTAAAACAAGCCATATAGTGTTGTTGCCCTCTGCAATTTGCTGAATTAAAAATTGCTTGTGTTGTGGTAATTATGCTAAGTATTACAGTATTACAATGAGTAATTTTGTAAGGGTTGTTAGTTTCCAGATGTAGACTCTTCTCCTAACCATTGATATTCTCCACTGTTATACTGAAAAAAAAAAAAAGACCAGGAACACATGTCAATAGTATTACTCTTCTTCACAGCATGTTAGAACCGTTAACCGAGCATCATAGCGCCACTATAACAAAAGTAAAAGGAGAATATTCAGAGAGCTAACAGATGAAGTTTTTAAACATCCATTAAGGAAACAGACACCCAGCACGGTGTAAACCAAATAATCTGACGCATACCTGGAAGTGAGACTAAACTTCCACTCCTCCTGCCTTGATTCTGCCCAGATGCAATAGTGTTTCGTGTTCTGATCGCTGAGCCTGTCTGTAGCTGACAGAAGACCTCACGTTACTCAAATCAGTCGGGTCTTTTGGTCGGTGTTGCTGTTTGGGCCTTTTAGGCTGCAACGGTCCCTCGAAAAGTACTGTAGGCACACGAGTGTTAATTATTAACTGCAGCTACGAGCAGCTTTTTTTCAGCAGGTCTGTGTGCAGTTCCGTATTTGCCGTCAATAAAATGGGCTCTTTCAGTGCCTCCTTCCAAAGTCCAGCGCCTTCAGGAGGAACAACACTGTTTGCCTTCTCTGTCTTGGTTTCTGCGTGAGGCACACTGCACGAACAGCATCTGCGCCCAGGGAAGGCAGAAAGGAGCCAATCTGACCTGGGCAGGCGGAGGGAATCCGGAGTATTTAGCATCTGTTGAGAAGAATCATCTGCCCTTTCTCACCGGCAGCTCGCAGACAACTTGTGAGTAGATTTTGTTTCACGAGGGCCTGATGGTTCGAGGGGGGGGGGGGGGGGAGGAAAAAAGCCTTATTTAACGCCTAATTTTAGAGGGGCTGGGATGGGGTTTAACCTCCCGCCCAGGAGATAAGGAATTCCTGGTGACACGGGGCGCTTTGCAATGCGGGAGAAACACGACTCCCAGGAATCCCGTCGGGGCTGTTCGGCCTTTGCCCGTCTCATCGGGGCGGCGGGACATCCGTGGTGCCGGGAAGCCGATACCTGTGGAATGCCGGCCTGACGCGCCGTCCCTTCCCTCTCGGCGAGTGGAGGTTTTTGGGGACAGCGTGGGTAGGGTCTCGCAGAGGGAGCCTGGCCACGGCGCGGCTCTGCCTCCCGCCCCTCGGGGGTGTCCCAGTGCTCCCAGAGCACACCAGTACAGCCCAGCCGGGCGGCCGCGGCTCTGCTGGGATGAAAGGCCGGGGGGCAGCGGGTTCCCAGGCACAGGTGGAAGGCTGCGCCGCGGGGTCCAGAGCTCTGCCGGCTACACAACCTCGGGCGGGCAATAATCCTCAATTCCCTCGAAGTAAAGGGGAAAAAACGGCGCGAACGCGGGGCCTGGTGACAGCGCGCACCGGGGGCACCGCAGCCGGGCTCCCCGCATGGGGCGGGGGGGGCAGCGCCGGTTCCCCCCCCCCCACCTCCCGGGAGACGGGACGGGCTGAGAAAAGCCGGGGGCCGGGGCGGCCCCGCCGCGGTGACTCAGCGGCGCGGAGTAACCGGGCTGCGACCGGT